AACAAAGATTAATCCAAGCTAAACTAAAACATAAACAAAAATTAAACCAACAATGGAGGGGAAGGTGAAAATGAAAATTGAGAAATGAATTAGGGCTAAGGTTAAATGTAAGTAGGGGAATGAATTTGGTTAATTTTTATAGATTGGGTTGGGTTGGGTTGGGTTGGGTTGGGTTAGGTAAAATTGGATTAAGTTTAATTTGTATTGAATTGAGTTTGAACTTGAGTTCGGGTTTGTGTTTGTGTTCGGATTTGGGTTTGAGTTTAAAATATGAATTAAATTTAAAATAAAATTAATTTATATTTATTTTAATTTTTGTGGGGATGGGGATCCCCACGAGGCGGGAAAAATTACCGGTGAAATTTCGTGAGGGAAAAATGCTCCCCACCCCTGTCCCACGGGGAGGAATATTCCTCCCGTCCCGTTCCTGTGACAAGGATCCCTGCGGAGATCGGAGAAAATTGCCATCCGTAGGAGAAAGGGAGATAGAGGGTAATAAAATCCTCTTTTACTCCTCTGATATCTATCCTTTCAAATTAAATGACTTGGAATGGATTTGGTTAACATATTTATATATTTTCTAATATTTTTAAAAAATAAACATATAAAAATATTTTATTTTAATTATTGTTTTAATTAGTAAATTTTAAATATTTTATTTTATTTAAATTATTTAATTAAATAAAATTATTGCTTTTAAAAATAATATTTTATAGAATGACCATAACCGTACAGCCAAATGAACGGTGTATCTTAACTTTCTATTTTACGTTTTTTTTTATTTTAGATTAGGTTATCCTTACTATCTTCGCAAAAAAAATCGCCCTTGATCTTTTTTTTTTTTTTTTTGAACAAATGGGAAATTTGGAGGAAAGGAAGGATAGGAGATTGCTATTGCAACTTTTAACTTTGACAAAAATCAAGAATTAGGTGCATCCAAATTAAATCAGTCAAAGCTGTGGCCTGTGGGTGCAAATCGCCCTTGATCTTATGCGTCACTGGAACATTAGCGCTCCTGAGGGATCGGTGGGGGGAGGGCCATGCCATGCAAATTTTCTTGGTGTCGAATGA